ACGCCTTCAATGATTATCAACTTTAAAAAATGAAAGAAGAGTTAAAATAATTAGACAGTTCAATATAAAGCGCGCTGTATCTAATGTTCCTCAGTACATACACAAAAATACAGATTCAACAACGTATTCAGCTGCAATAGAAAGTTACAGGAAAGTTTTACTCTTCATGCCACCGGTTATCATGCTGGTGGATCGTTGTACCACTTTCCGTTAAATGAAAGGTGCTTCGCAGAACTTATAACCAACATATATTATATATATGTATATATATACCAAGCTCAATCCGTCTTCAGGGTAAAATGACAAACGCACCTAATATTTTCATGCGGGTATACATATGTATGTATATTATATATAGACAAAATAAAAGAGGCAAATACCTGATCGCGGCTGTGCCGCCGTTATCTAGCGAAATTTCTTGCCATCTTTCTGTGCGTTGAGTCTAACATGCAAACCGTTTAAAAGCGTAAATGTCTGAATAATCTAGCAATCTCTACCGTGGCTGTGAGCTTCCTTCTTCTGTTAAAGTAGTCGAAAATAACTGCCGAGGCGCCAATCGCTATCAGCAGAAAGCCAGACGCACACAAACAGATTCCCAATATCTATAATACAAACAGTTGATGATACTAGAGAAAAGTGATAAAATCAGTATAACGGCATTTGCAAGGTAAGCAATCAAAATCGATGACTAAAAACTGACAAATTGGCCGCAACTCTAGAAGTCATTGCCGGCGTCATGAAAACTTCTGGCGTCTGGCTGAAAAAACCCTGGACTTAATTCATCACATTATCTGGGCCACAGTTTGGTCAGTCGTGGGCGATACGTGAGAAGGGAGTTGTTAGGAATCAATTACAACAACGTATGGTAAGAAACTATCAGCTAAACACCATACGACACGGTTTATTAACAAACAACGCAAAAAATAATACAGCAAGTTGAATGACTGACAAATACAGACGTTCTGATTCGTGTCTCGTGCGACCTCTTCAAGGCAGGAAGTTGGCAAAATTGCGCAGGTTTTTCTAATTGTCCGCAGCGACTGGAAGGCTTTGAGCCACATGACAAGCTTTTGGTCCGTGCTGCTGGCTAAAGAGCATCTGGGCGACAAAGTTTATCCAATCCGCTATGAGTTCACATCCAGTGCCACAGCTGATATTGTCGCAGGACCGAATGATTAATACCTCTTTGACGCGCCTGTGCAGCCAGTGTCTTTTTTGGATGAAACCGGTACACTCTGACCATCTGGGCGGGCCCCTGTTGTACA